CTCTCTCTCTCTCTCTCTCTCTCTTATCGTCTCATCTCTCACTTTTCATAATATCTCTCCCCACCTTACTTATCACCTATTTTATTTGCTCTCGCTCCCTCCTCCTCCCCTCCCATCTACTTCTTTTCTCTATGTCTTTTTCTGTCCCTGCGTCTGTCTGTCTGTCTGTCTGTCTGTCTGTCTGTCTGTCTTTATCTCTATCTCTTTATCTTTTCATTCATTTTCTTTCTCTTTTGCCGCAACCTCTCTCTCTCTCTCTCTCTCTCTCTCTCTCTCTCTCTCTCTTGCTCTAGTGTTTGTTTGCGACTGGTGTGTTTGTCCGGTCTGTGAACGACGAGTGTTTGTCGAATTTCCCTTCTGCTACCTGTGAAGTGAAGAGCGAAACCGTCCACCATTTTTTTCTTGTGAGTAGCCCACTCGGCCGTTAATACGGGGTGCCCACTACGGACGGGATCGGCTGATCGGGCCGATCGCCCGACTCGATCGCCTCAAAAACAAACGTGTTTGTTTTCAGTTTCAGGCGATCGACTCGGGTGATCGGCCCGATCCAGCCGTAGTGGGCACCCGTATTAGCAACCGTTTGTTCCGAAAGCGTGGAAAATCACGAGTCAAGGGAAATAAGCTTGGAGATCCTAGAGGAGCTCAAAGCCTTACGAAAATAACTGTGAGAACAACTTTTCTGAAATAAAAAATGAGATTAAGAACTTTAGAGCAAAGTTGGAGCGCTTCGAGATAGAAATAGCTTCAATACAAAAAATCAGTTTGTGAAATTAAGGAACAGTAGCACGTGCAATGTCTTGACATAGAAGAAGTTTATTTGAAAAGTGCTGTAATGCAGGACAACGTTAGTGGATTGGACGGGGAGATGGAAAAGGCAGAAAGGTACAGTAGGAGGGAAAATTTAATGTTCCTTTGTGTGCCGGAGGATTTGAGGGAGGAGCCGCACACAGCAAGAACAAAGGTTCTAGAAATACTTGGAAAAGTGACGGAAAAAAGCTGGGGAGATCTGGATTTCACACGGGCGCATAGAGTGGGGCCCAAGAGGCAGAACGACCGCGCTAGGCCTATTATTGCGAGATTTCAATATTCGGAAGACAAATTCCATGTTTTGAGTGGGAGAGAGGAACTAAAGGAGCAGGGGGCGAGTGTCACCGGTGATCTTACACCGCGGCAGAGGGAAGAACTCAGAGACCTGAGAGCCAAAAGAAAACGTTTTTTTTAAAATGGAAGACTTCACGTGGAAGACATCACCGCTAGACAAACACAACACGCCCAGCAATAGGAATGGCCTAAACACACTTCAGTCAGGAGAGGTTTTAATACATGTATACAAGAGCTCGTGAGAAACAGGGTGGGAGTTCAAATTATTTATGTACATGGGGCGCATCGTCTTTGCTGTTGAGGGTTAAACTGTAAAGTATTACATTGGCTTCAGCGAGTAATTGCTAATATGGGAGTGAAAATGCCTGTAAACGATCAAATTTCTCAGCTAACCGAACAATTTCTCTAATGAAAATATCGAACTAGACATTGCTCTTACTCGACTAAGGCCGGTCCCAGGGTGGCTCTGTACTGTAGGTCTGATCTGTAGCTCGCCTAGTTCGCACCATACAAATGAACGTATGCATTATCGTGTGCCTGAGCAGCATCACTGTATGAGCTGCGCAACGCGTCAGACGAGCTGTTCAACAGTGTTGTAAAACACGTTGGACATGTGTCGCACGTTGCCTCGCTTCGTGTTTATTTTCGTCTGAAATTCTTCAGAGATAGTCATACTCAGCAGGAGAAGTATTATTAGGTGCTTTATTATTAGATATTGATGCTAGCATCAACACTCGACCACAAAATCCTAAGAAATGCGCTTTATCCTACAATAAAATTTCGAAAGGAGAGGTTGACCTAGTTTCGACTGTTTGTTTACATTCGTAGACCTGTGTGCTTCTAGCCTAGTACGGCTGTGCTGACACGCAAAGGGCGCTCACTCAGACACAGAAGCCAACATACAGCGCAGCTGTGCTGACACGCAGAGGGCGCTCACTCAGTACACTCAGACACAGAAGCCAACACACAGCGTGGCTGTACTGACACGCAGAAGGTGTGCGCTTGGTGAGCTACAGGTCAGACCTACAAAGCCACTCTGGGACCGGCCTTACTCGAACATCCACCCTCAAGTTATACTAAACATCTACCTTGCGGAGAAAAATCCTTCGACCCTAGTCTTTGTTTCTCCGTCTTTTCATCTCTTGCTTCATGCACGCTTCTATCGCTCCCTCTGTATATCTCTGCATCTTTGTCCCTCTCCCTCTCTGTTCTCCACTTTCTTTCT